GGGGGCATCGGGTACTTGGTGAGGCGCTGGTGGGGCTTCACCAGCATGTCACTCAGCTTCAGGCGGCTGCACTGCTCGTGCTTCTCAGCCCACTGCAGCACGTGGGTGTCAGCCCTGGCACCGGCCCCAGCACCGGCCCCGGCCCCGGCCCCCACCCCCTCCCCTTACCGTCACGTAGGCACGGAAGAGCTCGCTGTCCCGCAGCAGCGCCCGCATGTACTCCATGCAGCCCTCCTCCTCCATGCAGTACCGCACGTAGGGCTTGAAGAGGGAGCCGAACTGGGGGGCGCAGGGGGGTCACTGCGGGGCACGGCACAAAACAGCCCCCCGCCATGGCACGGGGTCCCCACTCACCATCTTGAAGCCATCAAGGAAGTCAACAGGGTCAATCAGCGCCCCGGTCCCTTGGCCGGCAGCGGGGCCATGACAGTGTGCCACAGCTCGTGGTGCAGCCGGATGATCTCCCCGATGTTGCCAAAGAGCCGCTCGGCATCCACCTGCGGGGGTGAGGCAGGCAGCTGCGTGGGGACAGCACCCTCACCCTGCCAGCATGGCCAGACTGGGGTCCCATCCCCGACCTGGGGGTCCCCAGTCCCCGCAGCCCCCTACCACTCACCTCGCAGAGCAGCCCTGACTCCTGCAGGTTCAGCAGGCAGCAGAGGAAGAGCTGCGGGGACAGAGTGGGGAGTCGGTGGGGTGCAGCCACGGCCCCCAGCCCCCTGGCACAGCACGGCTGCTGCTGGCACTCACGTCAGTGATGACTTTGAGCTTGCGGATGTAGGTGGCCTCGGTGTGCAGCAGCTCCCAGATGGCTTCCTGCTGGTGGCACTGCCGGCGTGACAGGGCCTGCCGGGCTGAGTGTCAGCACCGTGCCGGTGGCTGGGCAGAGCCACCGCAGCCCCCCAGCCCCCCTGGCCCTACCTCCGCGCCCTGGATGATCTGTTGCCAGCTGTCCTCCAGCGCCAGCCCAGCCTCATCCCTGTCCTCCTCCCAGGAGTCGCAGTCGAAGCAGAGCTGGGGCGGCAGCTTGGGCAGCCCGAAGGTGCTATAGGCGTGCAGCCTGCTCGCCAGCTGCTCCAGCTTCTCAGTCTCCTGGCCGAAAATGGGGGGCAGAGCAGCTGGGCGGGGGGCCGGCGGGGATGTGCCACAGACCCCCTCACCCTGGCCATGGAGCTGGGGGGGCTCGAGCCCCAGGGGGACCCATCCCAGCTCCGCAGCATCACTGCGGGCAGCTCCCGCGCCCCCTCTGCATCCCACCTACCCGCCCAAAGGAGCCAGTGCCAGTGCTGGAGCCGAAGAAGCCACTGAAGCGGCTGGCAGCGCGGTTCTTCCAGGTGTCAGTGCCATTGGCAGACAGGGAGCTGCTGGGGAGCTGCTGCTGTGGGGGGCCGGCTCAGGGCTGGGGATGCTGGCGTCCCCCAGGAACTCTGTCATGTTCTTCCTCCGCCGGCCCGGAGCCTGCGGCGGGGACAGCCAGAGCCCCCTGGGTCAGCGCCTGGCACCGCACACCGGGGCCACCGGGCTGGGGACAGCGGCACGGCGCAGCATGATGCTACAGCAGGGCTGACCTCGAGTACCCATGGGACAGACAGACACCCAGATGGCACCCCTGGGCAGCAGGGCCCCCCCGGCCTTGCTCCCCTGCCCACACTGACCTGCCTACCTGCATCCCGGGGGAGCAGGGCCCCAGGTGCTGCCTGACCAAGCCCGTCCAGCTGTGGGCAAGCGGCCCCAGCAGCGTGGGGGCTCAGGGCATCCCGCAGGGCAGAGCACTCTGGCCGAGCCGCCTGCCCAGCCGTGCTCCCAGCTCGGACAGTGGAGCCGGGCAGGCAGTGGCCAGGCTCCTCCGAAACAAAAGGAGGTGGGGCCAGCAACGAAAACCTAATTTCCCTCCTCGCCAGATAAGCTAACCAGAGCTGAACAATTCACCAGCAGAGATCAAAGCCCCTCCGGCCGGCTGCGAGAGCTGGGTCATGGCCAAGTGGCTCCTGCCGGCCTGGGCACCGCTGCACCAGCTGCCTCCCCACGTATCCCTGGGCCATGCCGGGACATGGCTGCTGCCATCTCCTCACTCTGCCACAAAGGGCAGCAGGGCCGGGGCTCCCCACCTGCCACCGAGCCATGGGACGTGGCACACTGCTGCCACCGGCACAGCCCCGCACCCTGCCACGTCCCTGGCCCCGGGCAGGGAGAGCCACTGGGGGCACCATCCCTGTTACTCACCGTGCTGCCGTGTCCCCAGGTGCCCCGGCCGCTGCGCTGCCAGCCGCCCTGGTGTTGGATCGGCTCCCGCCTGCCCCCAGGAAGGCAGTCGGAGCTGAGACCCCCGTGGGGGCGGTTGGGTACCTGCTGCCCCCCGTGCACCGCTGGGGCCGTGCCAGTCCCACAGCCAGGCATCGTAGTGCTGGATGCGGGTGGCCACCAGCCCTGGCCACACGGCCAGCTTGCCACCTTCAAGGGCCGCCGGCACCCCCGGAGCTGCTCCCTGCGAGCGTGGCAGCCTGCTCCCACGGGGAGTGGTGGCCAGCCCGGCCCCACACCTTATCTGGGGCCAGGGTCCACGGGGCAGGACCAAGCTGTGCTCGGCAGCTGCCAGGCGCCGCGGCGAGAGGAGGGCCGGCAGCCAGGGTGAGCCCTGGGGCCGGGATGGTACTGAGCAGCTGCCCCGCCGAGGCCCCCCGTGCTGTTGG